TTGGCTCATCACCTGAAATGATATTATTATAGGCAACATAAAAAAAACTAAATCTGTGAATCACAAATACTCAGAGATGTCATGATACTCCATTCTTCATTGTGAGTGGTATCCAAAAACTCAAGACTGGAGATGAAGTCTTCCTATACCAGGTGAATTCATTTGAGTGTCTTTGAAGTGTGCAAAAGAGAGTTCTGTGTAGTTTTTGAGTTCAGGAGATCAAAGATAGGTGGTTCTGGAAGTTCAATCCATGGTCAGCCAACTCCAAAGCTCTGGGCTTGAGGGGAGGCAAAACATCATGGTGGGGGGGCACGCCAGAGGAGAGCTGTTCAGTTCATGATAACCAGGAAGTAGACAGACTGTTCCAGTAACTTGTATGGTAAGAGAAAATCCTAGATCATGCATTGGGTTTATTATGTATCATGTCTCTTTGATCAGCTTTAATGACACACAGTTCCCCAATTTTCCTTTTTGCTTCGTGACACTGACACTTTTGAAGAGGTAAATTGGATATCTTGTAGAATACCTTTCAATTTATGTTTGTCAGATCATCTTCTCGTTGTTATTCAGATTATGCACTTTTGGTAGGAATATCATAGAAGTGATGTAAGACTCTCAATGAATCACATCTTTTTTTTTTTAAACTGAAAGCTCTTCATCCTTCTCCACTCCTACTCCTCTAAAAAGTTTTAAAATAATCATTGTCATCCATTAGCATCTATTCAGTACTCTCTATGTATTTACATACACTCACATCTGTATTCAGGCACACACAAGTAACCTTTAAAAAAATCTAACAAAAAGAGTACATAATGCTCATTTTCCTACTGCTATGCAATTTGCCTTTTTTTCATTTAACTGTATGTCTTAGAGAGCATTTCATGATCTATCCAGTGCAGATTCATCTCATTCTTTAAAAGAAGCATTTTTTAAAATAGTATATATCCTTGTTTATTTTGTCCCCTATTGATGAATACTTATTTTCCATTTTTCTATCACAATCTTTTGTGATAAATCACAAACATACATATAAGAACACAGCTAACTTACAATTTTGATACTATCAAATAGCTTTCCTAAAACACTGCGACAACTTGTGTTTCCATCCACCACATGTGAGACAATTTTCTATTTTCTGATTATTGGTGATATTGAGCACCGCTTATCATAGTTCATTGCCTTTTGATTCTTTTATTGTTTGTTTGTGGTGCTAGGGATTGAACCCAGGGCCTTGTGCATGTGAGGCAAGCACTCTACCAACTGAGCTATGTCCCCAGACCCAGTTCATTGCCTTTTGAATATATTGTTTTGTAAAATGCCAGTTAGTGTTCTTTGTTGTTAGAGTTCTGGATTATTGGTCTTTTTTCAGTCTTACTATTTATTGTCCAGGTCCTGTCAGCTGACATCCTATAGAAAGGTTTCTCTTTCCTCTGGGCAGCCAACTATTCTCTTCTTTGCTATCTTATAATACTGTTCACATTGCACCAGGCTTTCAGTTACCAACCATTCCATATTAAATTCACTTATTCTGTAAGTGTTCACCTTATGTTTTTGGCCTTAGGCAAAGTGCTAGGTAGAGATCAGGTCATGCATTGGGTTTATTATGTATCATATCTCTCTGATCTGCTTTAATAAGGCACAGTTCCCCAATTTTCCTTTTCTCCATCAAGGAGTTTGAAATGAACGTGTCAGAGTACAGAGAAGAACATAAGTTTGGATTCAGACAAAACTTGGATTTGAATCCCAGATCCACCACTTCTCAGTTGTGGGACAGAAAAAGTTACTTGACCTCTCTAAATTTCAATTTCCACCCTGAAGAAACAAGCTAATACTTCTTTTACAGAGTTATTTTTAAGGTAGGTGAGAGGCAAGGTATCTGAGGTGGCTAGCAAGGGCCTGTTCCATAGTAGGCTCTAAGTAAATTAATCATAATTTAAAGGCAACTGTTAAGAGATTGAAAGGATTAGTTTTAGGACCTATTAAGAAACTGGAAAAAAGAAAAACAGAAAAAAGGTAGTTTTTCCTCTTTGCACTGGGAAGGATAAGAATGAGTCGTGATATGCCCCACTCCTACTCTCCCCATCCTACTACAGTCTATCTCCCATCTTGTCTGTCCTCTTCAGCAGGTTTCTGCTTTGTCCTGGACCATTATCCCAATTCAGCTTGCTATTGTTGACATAGGGCTATTACTACCCCAGAGGAAAACAAGTGCTTCCTTCCTCAAATAATCTCTTCAGAATATTTTCTGTAACAGTACATGCTGCTCATGATTTGAAAAAGTGGAGACCAGAGACAACTTGAAGTGGAAAGAGAAAAGCTCTGTGTGTGTGTGTGTGTGTGTGTGTGTGTGTGTGTGTGTGTACGCATCCATGGCATCCATGTGTACTTGGGGAGAGACTTAGACTAATCGGACCAGGATTAAAGACACAACTCTGCCTTTCTTAAGTTACTAACGGCAAGTCAGTCTTTCCCTTCTTGGCTTCATTTACTCTGCAATAAAAGATTAGATCTCAATTTCTAAAGAGTCTTGTAAATGGAGAGTTCACTATATAAAGACATGGGATGTGTGAATATACACCACTGTCCTTAGTCAGAAATCTCTGTATCCTTGGACTCCTGCAGTTTTTTATAACCATCTTAATGTCATGGAGCACCATACTTGCATTCTAGTTATTTGGGGTCATGACATAGTTTTCCCACTGAACTGACAGTGGTGGATCCAATTCTGGTTCTTAGTTTCTTAAAGCCTATATACTTTTATTGAATGCCCTGGTGTCTTCTAGGCACTGTATCAGCTAGTAAACAAACAAAAACAAAATTAGAACTTCTGCTTTTAAGGAGTTCCGCAGTTTAGCTGGGACCCAACTTTAAGACCATTACCTTGACGGAGGTTTGTCCAAAGTATGGGGGGTCATAGGGAAGGAATGTTTGTCTTGTCTGACTGAATTGGAAGGTTTCCCTTAAGACCCAAGACTTCAGCTGAGTAGGGTGAATAGGGGTACCTTAGAAAGTCAGGAAAAAGAAGGTTGCTGGCTATGGGAGTGTTGTCTGTAAAGGCATGGATGTGGGGAATCAGTATGCTGGCATCTGCTCAGGATTCAGCATGACAGTGAACAGGTAGGCAGATGTCATCTTATGAAGTGCCATTTATGCTATCTAAAAGTCTATATGTTTTGACTCATAATGTAAGGAAGTTCTGAGGTGGGAGAGAAGTACATCTTTGTTGAATGCATGAGGAATAATGAGAAAATGGAGTATAGTAATTGGATGTATTTCCTAAATTTGTGGCAGTTAGCAAATTATTTAACCTCTCAAGTCTGTTTCCTTTTTTTCTTCTGTGAAATGAGAGCTTTAAAAAAGAAAAAGAAAGAAAACAACCTCAAAAGGTTGTTCATATTTTAAAGAAATTATATCTGCCTGGTGTTGTGGTGCATGGGTGTGGTGGTACACCCCTGTAATTCCAGTGGCTTTGGAGGCTGAGGTGAAGGAGCACAAGTTCAAAGCAAGCCTTAGCAATTTAGCAAGGCTGTAAGCAACCTAGAGATAACTGTCTCAAAAATAAAAAAAACAAATAAGGCTGGGGATACGACTGAATGATTAAGCGCCCTTGGATTCAATCGAAAGAAAGAAAGGAAAGAAAAAGAAAGAAAGAAAAGGAAAGAAAGAAAGAAAGAAAAGAAGAGAGAGAGAGAGAGAGAGAGAGAGAGAGAGAGAGAGAGAGAGAGAGAGATTGTTGTATTTTATCTTTTAGATGGAGTAAGCCTGGCCTGGCACTTGACAAAAATTCAAAAAATTCATAAAGATGGCATTTATTTTACCTATTACCTAAACACAAACAATTCAGAAATCTGTGACCTCATTTCTATGCCTGTTTGCTTATTTGCAAAATGGGCTTTCCAATTTCACCTGTTTATGGTATTTTCTTTTCTTTCTAGCATTTTACCAACGTTTTAATCAAAACTTCTAATTATTTTCCTTGTTAAACTCTTAAGATTATAGTCAAACTATTTATATTCTGTTTTTCCAGCTTAACTCTTGGCTCCATGAGACCAGAGATTTAAAAAATTTTACCACTTATCCTTACTTTCTAGCACAGGTTGGCTCTTAACAGATGTTCAATAGATGTTGACAAAAGAATAGAAGTCAAGCTTTTCTTGGAGGTCTGTTGCTAGGGGCCAAGGAATTGGTTAAGTGTTATTTGTAAGTGTGCACTGATGGGTTTAAAGTGTTTAAAGGGGTGTGAGAAGCAGAACTAGAGCTAAACGCGCCTAGCACAATCTTGTAAGTCTCCAGAGGCTTCCAACAGACCAGCATTAATTCCAATCTTTTCCAGCACTCAAGGTTCACAATGGGTTAATTTATTGCCTGGTATTTCATTAAAACGCGGAAGCCCCCCAGTGTGAACTATGTTCAACTGCAACCTACAAGGGGCAGGTAACCAGTCAGGGTTCCTCAGAGAATGGGCGAAGTAATTTGAAGCCAGGCAATCTCCACAGTCTTTTCCCTCGCTGAGGATTCTCGGGTCCTCTGCCAGCCCACGTTGCCGGCGGTGGTAGGCCCCGTAGCTGCCGGGCTTTGGATCTGCTCCGCGCCACGTGGCGCAGAGAGGGCGTTCCCTCGGCTCGAGAGGAGGAGGTGGAGACTGTTCTAAATCTCCCAGAGGCACCATGGGAGTCGTAGTTTTCTCGTGTGCACAGAGGGCGGGAGCTCCTGCCCTTCAAGTAACAACTCTCTCGTGCAACTCATCTAAACAAAATATTCTCCACAATAGATGGATCTAGGTAGTTTCAAAAGAAGGCGTGAAGAGGAAGGAGCAAAGCAAATAAAGCAAACCAAAAAAATTATCGGCGAGGAAGAGACAGGGTTAACAGTTGTTACGCATGCGTACAGAGGTCCAGGTGGTGGGCGGGGACGGAAGAACGACTGTCGAGAGCTCTGTTTTCCCGGAAGTGCCTTCCCTCCTCCCGGGTCCGCGCGGACGCGGCTTCCTTACCTCATTTGTCCTCGCCCCTCCCCGTCCCTCTACGCGTTTTGGTTCCTGGTTGGTGCTTCCTGGTCGCAGCCGCGGCAGTGAGTATGTGTGTGACGGACCCCACGTCTTCCGCGACCGGGGACCCTTGCCCGCCTTCCGCCTCGCCCGCCGGGCTGTGGCACTAGCGTGTGCTCCCTCGTCGGCCTCCGCACCCGGGTCCCTCTTCACTCGTGTCAGGGCGCAGTTCATGGCTTCTCATCCGTGTGCTGCTCCGGGCGGCTCGGCCAACAGGCTGGGTTGTGCGCGACTCCCTGCTCCTGAGGCCGTGGTTCAACAAGAACTGGGCGTTGATGGTCTGCGAAGGGGTGGCTTTTCTGCCTGTTTCACCTGACGCCCCACAAGGTTCCCCTGTTCTGGGAAGCCGGTCCGTCAGTTAAACGCGCAGGTCCTGCTGCGCCGAGGCCGAATCCGGCCTTTGAGGACCGATCAATCCCGGGCTGACTCCAGCCTCTACTGTCAGAAGCTGCAGCTACGGGACCAGAAAATTTGGGGGAGCTGAAACCTTTCCCTCGTGTAAAACAAGGAGACTTGAATTATATTCCCAAAGATTCCTCTTATCCCCCACATCTTGTTCGTCAATAGTTGCTTTAAACTTTAGGGAAAAGCTTCCGGTGCATTGGAAAAACTCTGGCAGCAGGCCTGGGTTCTAGCCATGGTTCCACCACTGACTAGAAATCTCTTCTTTAGGCTGAATTTACGATTGTTTCAGATTAAAGGATTGAATTAGAAATTGAATTAGAAAATCTTTTAGGGCCTTTATATTTCTCTTGAGATCGTTTCTCCCAAGTATAAAATCAAAGCATTTATATGATAACTCAGGTTCCTTCAAAGCTCCTGACTTTGTTTTGAGTACTTAGGCTGTCGCAAAGACTTCTAAGTGACATTGTATACTTAAGGCTGTATTGTGCTTTGGGGACAGTTTAGTATTATTGCTATTATCTGGAGAATCTGAGGATGAGGAATGAATTGAGGAAGATTTGGAAGTGGGAATTGAACAAGGGAATGGCATGGGGGAATGGGATGGGGATTATTGGACAGCTCACAGGGGTAAGAGGCTTTATGGTAAAAGGAGAAGAGTTGAGAGAAATCTGATGGAAGTGTTTTCAGATAGGGTTTAGTTCTTGTAAAAAGCCTTTGTATATTCCAAGAACAGCTGAGATTTATCTCAAATTGAGCATAATTTTCTCGTCTTGATACTGTGTTCCCTCTTTCTCTTTTTTATGACCATTGTTTCACACATATAGATCTTTAAGTCATATTTGATTTAAAGTGTCACATTTGAAAAATGGACAGGAATTTTAACCCCAGTTGTTATTTTCAGGGAAGCACTAAAGATTAAGTCAGAATTTTTCAGTTTAGATAAACTATGTAGAAATCACTTTTCTATTGGAAACTGTGGACTTAAAATCAAGCTGTAGGGCTGGGGATGTAGTTCAGTGGTTGAGAGCTTGCCTAGCTGCTTAAGGCTCTGGGTTCAATCCCCAGCCCTGCAAAAAGCAAGCAAGCAAGTTAATTGTAGATTTTATTTAAATCTGACTGAGGTGAATGCTTATGTCATCAAGAAGGAACATCTTAGCTAAAACACTTTGGAAGGAAATAAGAGCAAAATGTTTGGAATGACCAGCAGGTAGACTGTTAGAATAGAAGCATTGGCTTTAAAGATTGTGTAAGTAAATTCTGAAAGCTTAAATAAACTTAAGTTGTGTAGTTTTTAAAAATCCAGTGAATAAATACTACTCCCTTTTTTGACAGCAGGAGCTGTCAAAATTTATATTTGATATGCTATTTTAATTTTTCAGATAAGTTTTCCTCTATTTTAGGTTCTTGTATGGAAGCATCCTTTTTAGTAATAGGATTGATAAAGTCTATCTTTGAGTTCTTGAGTGATAAACTGACAAATTTAAATGTGTGCTTTTTCTTTTAATGAAAATGCCTCTGAAAGTTTTCATACTGCACTGAGAAGTAAAGTAGATATGCATGAGGTAAATTTAGGTGTTAGAGCCAATGCACATATAACAATCTTCATTTGAAATCATTTTGAAAATTTTATTTTCAAATCTTAGTGCTTGATTGAGAGTCAGAAAAGTGTGAATCATCAGTTCTAGCTGTATTCTTAACCAACTGCCTGACTTTGGGTGGGCTTCCTTATTTCTTATCACTTTGGATCTCAGTTTTCGCATGTAAATTGAGGGGGTTGTGTGAAATAATCCAAAAGGTCCCCTCCAGATTTACAAGTTTGTGACTATCATAAGGGCCTTATTTTATCTAGTTGAGTAGATTTGGGAATCATGTCCAATGATCAAAAAAACGGAGAAAGCTTTCTGAGTTCAGGGATCTATCTGTATCTATATTCTCTCTCTCTCTGTCTCTCTCTCTCTCTCTATATGTATATATATATATATATATATATATATATATATATATGTATATGTATATATACACACACATATATGTTTTTATATATGCACACATAGATATAGATACATTTTATCTCATGTTCATCTCTGAGTATGCTTTTAAAAAATAAATGCATTCAAATGTAATTAAAATAGTAACATAAACCAAACAGCCTGAGGCAAACCTTAACCCTGGCATACATAAGCTACATAAATAGAAGAGAGCATGTTATGCCTGAGCACAATTTTCAAGTACAGAAGGTACAAAATCCTCTTAAAGGCCATAGGGGCTAAATTGTTAAATTCATTTTTCTACATTTCAGGAAAGGAGATAAATCCTTAGACCCAAGGAAGTCAGTTTTTATTATGGTTCTGTAGTTTATTTTTGGCATACATTCACAGGTGTGCCTATGGCTCTATTCTTAATCCCTTTCCTTTGGGATGGCTCCAAGAGTAGTACAAATTTGTAACTCTGTAATTTAGCTCTTTAATTTTTTCTGTGCTGCACTGGAATTATGTTTTATCTTAAGTCCACATTGGATCCTCAGGATGGATCCAGTGAGGATTTTGAAGGAAGCATAATTCCTTTGCCTTCTTTTAGAATTAATTTACCTATTAAATAAAAAGGAAAGGATTCATCTTTTATTTGAATTCCTCTGAGGCTAACATTTCAATATAAACTGATAAATGCTATGGGCATTATTATTCAGACAGTCACATTCAACTTTTATGACCATAACAGCATAGCAACCTGAAAGTGCAATAGGGGAACAGATATATTGTAACTTTTAGAAGAAAAAAGATAGTAAAAGTTGGTTTCTTTATTTCTGGAAAACAAAAGAGTTTTTGGGTCAGCTGCTTTTATGACCAAAATCACCATCACAGTATCACAGTATCCTGGCGTTTTGGGCAGAGATGGGAAACTAAAAACATAATTATTCTCTCTTAATTATATCTGTATATCTGAAAGTGGAAAAAATAATAAATTGGCATCATTACTAGGGCATCCCTGGTGTGCTGTAGGCCAGACCACCCAACCCTCACCCCTGTAATAGAAATTTAACCCAGGGGGACTCTAACATTGAGGTACATCCCCAGATCTTTTTCTATATTTTATTTTGAGACATGGTCTTCCCATGTTGCCCAGGTGGTCTCAAACTCAAGATTCTCCTGCCTTAGCCTTCCAGGTAGCTGGGATTACAGGTGTGTGCTTCTTCCTTGCACAGTTTTTAAACAAACACAATTTGCTTTTCTAAAGCTCTCATTTGGATCAATATTCCATTATACCTAGTTGAAACATCTTTGTAGATTTCTGGTTGATGATTAAGAGAATTTAAGTCTTTAGAATGTTGAAGACAACTGAGAAATTATCTCCATAATTTCTGTTTTCTAGGCACACATTAGCTCTATCAGAGCTGAAGAAAAATGTCTGAAAATATGATTCCTATTCATTCATTAATTCAACAGACATTTATAGAGGTCCCCCTAAATATCAGTTACTCTCTTTTTGGTGATCCTTCGTTTGAAACAAAGTACAGAGGGTCTTGCCCTCCTGTGGTTTCCAATCTGTTTCTGGGACATTTACATTGAAAAAGTAATTAAAAATGTGATGAATATTTTGAAATGTAAAGCATTGTGGAGACCTATAAAGAGATTTATAGTGGTATTAAGGCTGAGCTGGAAGATGAGCAGGATTTAATATGTGCATAATAGGAAAGTAAAGTGTTTTTTTGTATGCATTTATTCCCAAAGCCAGGAGTTTTACCTCAACTTCAGGTCTTTACTAAGTTTGCATTTCATATATGTTTTTATAACTAGCAAGGAAGTAAGTAGGTTTATCAGGTTTTTAAAATATATTCTTTTGGCCAAGGATCAGAAGGCCATCTTTTTTTTTTGGTGCTGCTGGGGATTGAATGTAGGACTGCATGCATACTAGACAGGTGCTCTACCCCTAAGCTACACCCCTAATCCTTTAGATTAATTTTAAAATTCAGAATAAATACTTATACTCAAACACTAAATATGATAATGGCTTCACGTTATGGATTCAATCATAGTTGAAATAATATTCTTGTAAGACAGGGTATACCTGAAAAGAGAAAATAAAGAACCAGAACCAAGGAAGGGAAGATAAATGGGATAATGAGAAATATTTACTTTTTTTTTTTTTAAGTACTAGGGATTGAACCCAGGGCCTCTGACATGCTAGGCAAGTCATCTATTACTGAACTACACCCTTAGTACTACTTAAAATCTTTTTGCAATTTTTAACATTTTGGAGAACAAGTGTTCAGTGTCACTCAACCATTTTTCTTTTCCAGTATACCTATGAATTATGATATTTCCATTAATAACTATAACAACTGGTTGTTAGTAATTCTCATTTAAGAGTATTATTCTCATTTGAGGGCATTTTTACATTGGGTCATAATATGATTTAGAAATTCATGGAAAAAAGCTCTCCTACAAGAAAAAGGTATTTTAATAAGTTGGAGAGAAGTGTTGGCCTTCATATAGAAGGTTGTGCTACGGATTGATATTATGCACTAACCACATAAGATCTGAGCTTTTAAAATACCTTTTTTGTATGACTTTTCTCTTTTACAGCATTAAGATTACCAACTTTCCATGATGTTTGGTGGCTACGAGACTATAGAAGCATATGAAGATGACCTTTATCGTGAAGAGTCATCTAGTGAACTGAGTGTTGATAGTGAGGTGGAATTTCAACTCTATAGTCAAATTCATTATGCCCAAGATCTTGGTAATGCTATTAGGGAGGAAGGACATGAAGAAAAGAACTCTGGGAATTCTGAATCATCAAGTAGTAAACCAAATCAGAAGAACTTAATTGTTGTTTCAGATAGTGAGGTCATCCAGCTCTCAGATGGGTCAGAGGTCATCACTTTGTCTGATGAAGACAGTATTTATAGATGTAAAAGAAAAAATATTAGGGTCCAAGCACAAGAAAAGACCCACGGTTGTTCTGCTTCTCCTCACTCTAATGAGTTGGCTGATAAGAAATCCAAGAGGAATATTGAGAAGCCTAAACCTGAAGAGAGATCAGCTATACTCCGAGAGGTCATGATTATAGAGGTCAGTTCAAGTGAAGAAGAGAGCACAATTTCAGAAAGTGATAATGTCGAAAGCTGGATGCTACTGGGATGTGAAGTAGATGATAAAGATGATGATATCCTCCTCAACCTTGTGGGATGTGAAAACTCTGTTACTGAAGGTTAGTATTATATAGGCCATTTTGAAAAGTAATATCATCCTTAATAAGGAGAACTGCTTTTTCTAGACAATAGACCAGTAGGATCTGCTCCTTAATTCCTCACTTTTTGGTCTTGTTTTTCATGAGACTTTCTTACCAGAGTCTACTTTAATGGTGGTCTCTCTGAACATCAGAAAGAGTATGTCAGAGTACCAAAGACACTCTGCTTCTGCTATAAGCACATTCATAGCTGCTTCTTCCTGTTTGGCTAGAGCCAGTTCTGGACCTGAAATCTTAGTTCTCTTCTCTCTCTGCTTGGTATCACAGGTGAGTACTACTTCTACCTCTGACATTGGCCTTGTGCTTGCATTTGGCCAAGTCTGTTGGGACTACCTCTTCCTAAGTGTTTTGCTTACCCAGGTGTTAGCCAGATAGCACGCATGGAGAATGATTGGTACTTAGAAGATACGGTTTTGGTATTAGGATTTTAGGAACTCCAAAGCCAGTAAGAGCAGATAAGAAAAACTGAAAGTCTCCAGAGTAGATTATAGGAGAGAATGTAAATTCCAAAAGCCACATTGTTGAGGATTAAACTTTAGGTGTTGTCTCTTCTGTCACAAGTGTAAGTCTTAATGCCTATTCATCTGCCCTATATACTACTCTTGAGACATACCATGGTACTTTACTGCTGCTCCAAACCTGTAGTGGCACCCTGCCATCCTTAGAAGAAATGATGACATCAGGATCCTCAGGAAGTAGCAAACTTTTTTTTTGTAAGGAATCAGGAAATATTTTAGGCTTCCAGGCCGTAGGATATCTTAAACTATTTGTTTTAGTTACTTTTTTTGCTGCTATGACTAAAGGATCTGACCAGCACAATTATAGAGGAAGAACTGTTTATTCAGGGGCTCACGGTTTCAGAGGTCTTAGTCCACAGAAGGCCGACTCCATTTCTTGGAGCTCCAGGTAAGGCTGAACACCACGGCAGGAGAGAGTAGTAGAGGGAAGCAGCTTACATCACACAGGAAGCAGAGAGAGAAAGAGACACTCCACTTTCCAGATAAAAATATATACTCCAAAGCCACGCCCCCAATTCTCACCTTCTCCAGCCACATCCTACCACTTCAGTCACCACCCATTTAATCCTGTTAGGGATTAATTATTAGGTTAAGACTCTCATAATCCAGTCATTTCTCCTCCAAACCTTGCATTGTCTCACACATGAGCTTGTGGGGAATACCTCACATCCAAACCACAACACTGTTTTCAACTTTGCGTCTGTGGGAAAGCAACCTTAATTCCTAAAGAAATGGGATGACTGTTTCAATCTTATTTGCAAAAACAGGTAGTTGGCACAGGCTGTAATTTGATGACTCCAAGAATTTGACAGCATAAAGAAAAAGACTAGTAGTTTTAATATACAGCAGCATCAAGTGGAATTTTGTAAGAATAAAGGAAATCTGATAATGTTTTTAGGAAGACAGGAGGAACTTGAAGAGAGAGTAAACCTGTTTAATGCTTGGGATAGTGAGGTGAGCTAAGAGGTGGGATTGAATGTCTGTGTCATTAGTCTTAAAAATTGCTAAGCGATCAGATATTTGTAGCAGTAGAGAAATAAGAAATTCAGATGAATTGAGGTGGATAAGGGAACAAAAGTATGTTTATGATTTTCATGGGAAAATGAAAGCAAAAGGGAGAATGGGCAGAGGATAACTGGGGTGTTTCACACCATAAGCTTTTGATGTGAGAAGGATGTTTAAGTCCTATGGGGAGCACTCTTTGGCAGTGGTTGGTTCCTAATAATTTGAAGATGACAACTCCTTTAAAACAATTAGTATTTGGTAATTGAGAAAATGCATATTAGCAGAGAGCTGCTAGTACTCTTTTAAATGACTTTCTATTTTATTAATCATGTTGACTGCACAGTTGAGAAATCTTTATACATATATGTGGGAGATAGTCTTTAAATAATGTATGTCTCTGGGTACCCATTATAGTAACTATTTTTATAGCTCCCCTGGAGCCTGAAACTCATGGCTTGGAAATCATTGTGCTAACAGATCAACAATAAGAGAATAAAAGAATTGCTTGGAAGTAGTACTCAGTCAAAATTGAAATAGTATGAACTTGTAATGAGCTCACTTTGAAAGTTTCCATAACTTTTTTTTTTTTTTTCAGGAATACTTGGTAGCCTGGAGCAAGGTGACAGAGACCAAATTATCCAGTATTAGGCATAACATTGTAGAAGGTCAAAATAAGCATTTAGTCTCTTCTTTCTCTAAATTGTGTTTCTCTAGATTGTCTTCCCGTGAGATCACACTTAGTTTCATTAGTCACTTCTATATTTGTAATGATCATATTGGCATTTTCTTAACTATTTTCTTCAGTTCAAGTTCCTCATGTGCAATTTGCTGAATATCTCCATTTGGGTATTGTACTGTTGTATCAGATTTAATATGCTGAAAAGAACGATTGTTATTTTTCCTTTGAAACCAACTTTCTTTCAGTTTAATAATCTGTAGAGAGTCAGGTTTGGGTGGTATTCACCTGTAATTCCACCTACACAGGAGAGTGAGGCAGGAGGATCACAATTTTGAGGCCAGCCTGGGCAAGTTAGGGAGACCCTGCCTCAAAATAAAAATAAAAAGTTCTGGGGTGTAGCTTAATGGTAGAGTGCCTCTGAGTTCAATACCCAGTATCATCTCTAACCTCCCCCACCACACACCCACACACAGAATCTGTAGAGATGCTGAAGTTGGTGGCAGAGTATAGATAGATTGTGAAAAAAGGAATAAGTGCTACCTTCATGGAGGGACTTGGAACTGTGTCATGCCTGTGGTAAATGATGGTGATGAGATGCCAAGAGACTGATCATCTAGACTAAAGAGCTAGTAAAGTGATGATGGATGGTGGATACACTGTGGTAGTGTAGCATGGGGTAGGGTGACCGTTTTTCTTTTGGTTGAAAAAAGGAGTGTCAGAGCTAAAATTTCCATGAGAGTTAATTGCTTTCTTGGAATTGTTAGCAAAAGATAGTTTTCAATTAAAAAGAAGGCATGTGGAGGTGATTTGTTTATTAAAATTATATTGTGTAAGTGTTGGGTCATGGAAATGAAGGGCAGTCTTAAAAGGTATTAACTGTATAGTTTGGACACTCCCCAACCTTCCAAAAAGTACTGTTTAGCATGGAAATGTGGAAGGACATTTATTTCAGATTGGAGAGTAGGGAAAGATTGTTAGAGACCAGGATGTAAGAGTTGAGTTTTGAAGAAAGGACGAGAGGTGGGTTGGAATGGAAGGTTTTAGGAGAAGAGGACAGCACGTGCAAAGGCATTGCAGAATGAAAACGGTGACTTTGGGGATGTGCAAGTATTTTAGTCTGATTTGTAAGGTGCTTGTTGGAGAGTAAGGAATTATAAATGCAGTGAGGCCATGGTGCCTAGCACATAAGGGGACTTTCTGTGTCCATTTTAAAAAAATATTTTGAAATCCAGGCTGGTAGCACATGCCTTTAATTTTGGCTACTCAGGAAGCTGAGGCAGAGGATCATGATTTGGAGACCAATCTGGGCAACTTAGCAAGAACTTATCTCAAAAAATAACAATCTGGGGATGTAGCTCAGTGCTAAGAGCACCCCTAAATTGGTTCCTCAGGATTGTAAAATAAACAAAAACAAAACAAATTATCCTGAAATTTCTACAGCTATTGAAGGATTTTAAGCAGGTGAGTAACATGTTCACATTTTTTATTTTAGAAAGAATTTTAGTGATATGTGAAAAATGAATTGCAGAGTTAGGAATTATCAAGATGAGGGGGTAGATGGGTTTTCTTTTGTAGCAATCTGAACTAAAAGTGATAGGGACAGAATTAAGCTAGATAGTGGTAGAAAGGATAGCAAGGAGGAAATGAATTTGAGAGAGAGCTTTATGTGGGAATATGGATATAACTTGGTGTTGGATTAGAAAAGAGAGAGAAAGGAACAAGTTAATGATGGCTTTGAAGTCATAAACCTGGGGAACAGAAAAAGGAACAAATTAAATGGGAGCTGATGTGATAGAAAAGGGGATTCTTAGGACAAAATGAAGAATTGGTAAGATGGTGGATGTGAGGATGGAATAAGAGGCAACTGAATCTTGGAAATGAGTCTGGAGGAAAGGAATTGATGGATTTAGTAAAGTATGTTTTAGAGATTAAAAAGAAGATTGGTATTCAGGTATATAAAGAAATCTCTGGCAGAACAACTTTAATATTTTGTGTTATAAATAAGCATATCTTCTTGAGCTACATTTTTCGGGGGTTATTTTTATTTTATTGAAGTGAACCATTACAGCTATTTTATAGTGTTTAATTGAGTGGTATTTAGAGCATTTACAGGATTGTGTTATCATTACCTCTGTTGATTCAAAAGGTTTGTATTATATTCAAGGGAGAGCCTGTAACCATTAAGCAGTCAGTCCCTATTTCCCAGCTTCCTCCAGTCACTGGCAGCCACCAATATGCTTTCTGTTTCTATAGATTCATCTATTTTTAATGTGACTTTTTGTCTTTTTTCCACTTAGCTTATGTTTTGGAGGTTTATGCATATTGTAGCATTTATCAGTTCTTCGTTATTTTTTAAGGCTGAATAATATTCCATTGGATGTATATTCTGTATTTTGCTTATTTTTCATCTGTTGATGAACTTCTGGGTTGTTTCCACCTTTTGGCTAGTGTGAATAGTGCTGCTGTAGAAATTTGTGAACAAGTGTTTACTTAAATACCTGCTTTCAATTCTTTGAGGTATATACTTAAGAATGGAGTTACTGGGCTGGGGTTGTGGCTCAGCAGGAGACCGCTTGCCTAGCACATTCGAGGCCTTGGGTTCGATTCTCAGCACCACATAAAAATAAATAAACAAAATAAAGGTATTGTCTACAACTAACTACAACTAAAAAATAAATAGTTATAAAAAAAAGAATAGAGTTACTTTTTGAGGAGCCCATAAACTGTTTCCCATAGTGGCTGTATCATTTTACATTCTT